CAAAATCACCCAAAACTGACCCAAAATTGCCCCCCAAATCACCCAAAACTGACCCAAAATTACCCCAAAAATGACCCAAAACTGACCCAAAACTGACCCCAAAATCTCCCGAAATTCACCCAAAACTGACCCAAAATTGCCCCAAAATTACCCCAAAACTGACCCCAAACCTGAACCTAAAATTACCCCAAAAATGCCCTCAAAACTCACCAAAATTACCCCAAAAGTGACTCGAAGTTATCCCAAAATGCACCTGAAACTGACCCAAAACTGACCCAAAATTACCCCAAAATGGCCCCAAAAATTGATCCAAAATGGACCCAAAAGTGACTTCAAAGTGACCCAAAAGTGACCCAAAATTGCCCCAAAACTGACCCCAAAATCACCTGAAATTGACGCAAAACTGACCCCAAAATCACTCAAAAATGACCCAAAATTACCCCAAAAATCCCCCAAAATTACCCCAAATTTTCCAAAATTTCTAAAAATTCCCAAAAATGCCCCAAAATTTTCCAAAATTCCCCAAAATTCCCAAAAATGCCCCCAAAAATGCCCCAAAATCCAAAAAAATTCCCCCAAAATTCTCAAAAAAAAGGAAAAAAATCCCCAAAAATCAAAAAAAATCCCCCAAAATTCCCTAAAATTTTCCAAAAATTCCCCAAAAATCCCCAAAAATTCCCCAAAATTCCCCAAAATTCCCCAAAATTCTCCAAAATTCCCAAAAATTTCCCCAAATCCCCCCTCAGAGCGGGACCTGGCCCGGAGCCCCCCCTCGGTTCCTCCCTCGCTGCTCCGCGACGTCCTCATGACCTTCTGCATGTTCAACTTCGACCTCGGTGAGTTTTGGGGAGAATTCCGGGAATTTTGGGGATTTTGGGAATTTTGGGAATTTTTAGGAATTTTTAGGAATTTTTGGGGGCATTTTTGGTTTTTTTGGGGGTTTTTTGGGGTATTTTGGGTGGATTTGAGGTGTCCTCATGACCTTCTGCATGTTCAACTTCGACCTCGGTGAGTTTTGGGGAGAATTCCGGGAATTTTGGGAATTTTGGGGAATTTTGGGAATTTTTGGGAATTTTTGGGATTTTTTTGGGATTTTTTTTGATTTTTTTTATTTTTTTGGGAATTTTTTCGGATTTTTTTTTGATTTTTTGGGGGGATTTTGGGTGGATTTGAGGTGTCCTCGTGACCTTCTGCATGTTCAACTTCGACCTCGGTGAGTTTTGGGGAGAATTCCGGGAATTTTGGGAATTTGGGGAATTTTTAGGAATTTTTTGGGAATTTTTTTGAATTTTTTTTTTATTTTTTGGGGAATTTTTTTGGATTTTTTTGCATTTTTTGGGGATTTTTGGGGGGATTTGAGGTGTCCTCATGACCTTCTGCGTGTTCAACTTCGACCTCGGTGAGTTTTGAGGAGAATTCCGGGAATTTTGGGAATTTTGGGGAATTTTAGGAATTTTTAGGAATTTTTTGGCATTTTTTTGGGGTTTTTTTTGATTTTTTGTGGAATTTTTTTGGATTTTTGGGGATTTTTTGGGGGATTTTGGGGGGATTTGAGGTGTCCTCATGACCTTCTGCATGTTCAACTTCGACCTCGGTGAGTTTTGGGGAGAATTCCGGGAATTTTGGGAATTTTGTGAATTTTGGGAATTTTTGGGGATTTTTTTGGATTTTTTTGATTTTTTGGGGATTTTTTTTGGATTTTTTTTTATTTTTTGGGGGATTTTGGGGGGATTTGAGGTGTCCTCATGACCTTCTGCGTGTTCAACTTCGACCTCGGTGAGTTTTGGGGAGAATTCCAGGAATTTTGGAAATTTTGGGAATTTTAGGAATTTTTTGGGGATTTTTTTTGGATTTTTTTGATTTTTTTGGGAATTTTTGGGGGCATTTTTGGGTTTTTTTGGGGATTTTTTGGGGGATTTTGGGTGGATTTGAGGTGTCCTCATGACCTTCTGCGTGTTCAACTTCGACCTCGGTGAGTTTTGGGGAGAATTCCGGGAATTTTGGGAATTTTGGGGAATTTTTTGGGAATTTTTGGGAATTTTTTTGGATTTTTTTGGAATTTTTAGGAATTTATTTTGATTTTTTGGGGGAATTTTTTTGGATTTTTTTTTAATTTTTTGTGGGATTTTGGGGGGATTTGAGGTGTTCTCATGACCTTCTGCGTGTTCAACTTCGACCTCGGTGAGTTTTGGGGAGAATTCCGGGAATTTGGGGAATTTTGGGAATTTTTTGGGAATTTTTAGGAATTTTTGGGGATTTTTGGGGATTTTTTGGCATTTTTTTTTTATTTTTTTTTATTTTTTGGGGAATTTTTTGGAATTTTTTTGGGATTTTTTGGGTTATTTTGGGGGGATTTGAGGTGTCCTCAAGACCTTCTGCATGTTCAACTTCGACCTCGATGAGTTTTGGGGAGAATTCCAGGAAATTTTGGGAATTTTGGGAATTTTTAGGAATTTTTAGGAATTTTTTTGGATTTTTTTTGGGATTTTTCCGGGATTTTTTTTGGATTTTTGGGGATTTTTTGGGGGATTTTGGGGGGATTTGAGGTGTCCTCATGACCTTCTGCATGTTCAACTTTGACCTCGGTGAGTTTTGGGGAGAATTCCGGGAATTTTGGGAATTTTGGGGAATTTTGGGAATTTTTAGGAATTTTTGGGGATTTTTTGGGATTTTTTTTTATTTTTTTGGGATTTTTTTTGGATTTTTTTTTATTTTTTGGGTTATTTTGGGTGGATTTGAGGTGTCCTCATGACCTTCTGCATGTTCAACTTCGACCTCGGTGAGTTTTGGGGAGAATTCCGGGAATTTTGGGAATTTGGGGAATTTTGGGAATTTTTGGGAATTTTTTGGGATTTTTTGGGGAATTTTTAGGAATTTATTTTGATTTTTTGGGGAATTTTTTTGGATTTTTTTTTTATTTTTTGGGGATTTTGGGGGGATTTGAGGTGTCCTCATGACCTTCTGCATGTTCAACTTCGACCTCGGTGAGTTTTGGGGAGAATTCCAGGAATTTTGGAAATTTTGGGAATTTTAGGAATTTTTTGGGGATTTTTTTTGGATTTTTTTGATTTTTTTGGGAATTTTTGGGGGCATTTTTGGGTTTTTTTGGGGATTTTTTGGGGGATTTTGGGTGGATTTGAGGTGTCCTCATGACCTTCTGCGTGTTCAACTTCGACCTCGGTGAGTTTTGGGGAGAATTCCGGGAATTTTGGGAATTTTGGGGAATTTTTTGGGAATTTTTGGGAATTTTTTTGGATTTTTTTGGAATTTTTAGGAATTTATTTTGATTTTTTGGGGGAATTTTTTTGGATTTTTTTTTAATTTTTTGTGGGATTTTGGGGGGATTTGAGGTGTTCTCATGACCTTCTGCATGTTCAACTTCGACCTCGGTGAGTTTTGGGGAGAATTCCGGGAATTTGGGGAATTTTGGGAATTTTTTGGGAATTTTTAGGAATTTTTGGGGATTTTTGGGGATTTTTTGGCATTTTTTTTTTATTTTTTTTTATTTTTTGGGGAATTTTTTGGAATTTTTTTGGGATTTTTTGGGTTATTTTGGGGGGATTTGAGGTGTCCTCAAGACCTTCTGCATGTTCAACTTCGACCTCGATGAGTTTTGGGGAGAATTCCAGGAATTTTGGGAATTTTGGGGAATTTTTGGGGAATTTTGGGGATTTTTTTGGCATTTTTTGGGATTTTTTTTGATTTTTTGGGGATTTTTTTTGGATTTTTTTGGATTTTTGGGGGGATTTTGGGGGGATTTGAGGTGTTCTCATGACCTTCTGCATGTTCAACTTCGACCTCGGTGAGTTTTGGGGAGAATTCCGGGAATTTTGGGAATTTTGGGGAATTTTGGGAATTTTGGGGAATTTTTGAGATTTTTTGGAATTTTTAGGAATTTATTTTGATTTTTTGGGGAATTTTTTTGGATTTTTGTGGATTTTTGGGGATTTTGGGGGGATTTGAGGTGTCCTCATGACCTTCTGCATGTTCAACTTCGACCTCGGTGAGTTTTGGGGAGAATTCCGGAAATTTTGGGAATTTTGGGAATTTTTAGGAATTTTTAGGAATTTTTTTGGATTTTTTTTGGGATTTTTCCGGGATTTTTTTTGGATTTTTGGGGATTTTTTGGGGGATTTTGGGGGGATTTGAGGTGTCCTCATGACCTTCTGCATGTTCAACTTCGACCTCGGTGAGTTTTGGGAGAATTCCGGGAATTTTGGGAGTTTTGGGAATTTTTGAGATTTTTTGGGAATTTTTAGGATTTTTTTTTTATTTTTGGGGAATTTTTTTGGATTTTTTTTGGATTTTTGGGGATTTTGGGGGGATTTGAGGTGTCCTCATGACCTTCTGCATGTTCAACTTCGACCTCGGTGAGTTTTGGGGAGAATTCCGGGAATTTTGGAAATTTTGGGGAATTTTGGGAATTTTTAAGAATTTTTAGGATTTTTTTTTTATTTTTTTGGGAATTTTTGGGGGCATTTTTGGGTTTTTTTTGATTTTTTGGGGGATTTTGGGGGGATTTGAGGTGTCCTCATGACCTTCTGCATGTTCAACTTTGACCTCGGTGAGTTTTGGGGAGAATTCCGGGAATTTTGGAAATTTTGGGGAATTTTGGGAATTTTTAGGAATTTTTGGGGATTTTTTAGGAATTTTTTTTTTATTTTTTTGGGAATTTTTTTGGATTTTTTTTTATTTTTTGGGGGATTTTGGGGGGATTTGAGGTGTCCTCATGACCTTCTGCATGTTCAAGTTCGACCTCGGTGAGTTTTGGGGAGAATTCCGGGAATTTGGGGAATTTGGGGAATTTTTTGGGAATTTTTTTGATTTTTTTTTATTTTTTGGGGAATTTTTTTGGATTTTTTTGCATTTTTTGGGGGTTTTTGGGGGGATTTGAGGTGTCCTCATGACCTTCTGCATGTTCAACTTTGACCTCGGTGAGTTTTGGGGAGAATTCCGGGAATTTTGGGAATTTTGGGAAATTTTAGGAATTTTTACGAATTTTTTGGCATTTTTTTGGGGATTTTTTTTGATTTTTTGGGGAATTTTTTTGGATTTTTGGGGATTTTTTGGGTTATTTTGGGGGGATTTGAGGTGTCCTCATGACCTTCTGCATGTTCAACTTCGACCTCGGTGAGTTTTGGGGAGAATTCCGGAAATTTTGGGAATTTTGGGAATTTTTAGGAATTTTTTTTTTTGATTTTCTGGAATTTTTTGGGAATTTTTGGGGAATTTTGGGGAATTTTTAATGGATTTTTTTGGTGGATTTTCAGGAATTTTTTGGGAATGTTTGGGGGAATTTTTGGGATTTTTTTGTGGAATTTTTTTTTTTATTTTCTGGAATTTTTGGGGAATTTTGGGGGGAATTTTTTGTGGATTTTTTATGGATTTTTCGTGGATTTTCCAGAATTTTTTGGGGAATTTTTTGTGGATTTTCAGGAATTTTTTGGGAATTTTTTGGGAATTTTTGGGGAATTTTTTTGGAATTTTTTGGAATTTTTTGTGGATTTTTTTTTTGGATTTTCCGGAATTTTTTGGGAAATTTTTGGGAATTTTTTGGGAATTTTGGGGGGGGAATTTTGGGGAAATTTTGGGCGAATTTTTGGGAATTTTTTTTTGATTTTTTGGGAATTTTTGGGAATTTTGGGGAATTTTGGGGAATTTCAGGGGGTCTCGGGGGGGATTTTTTGGCTCGGATTTTGGGAGTGAAAAAAACGGGAATTTTTTGTCAAAAATTTGGATTTTTGGGGGAAAAATTGAATTTTGGGGTAAAAAATCGGGATTTTTGGGGTCAAAAATTGGGATTTTTTTTTGGGCAATGTTAATTTTGGGGGATTTTGGGGTGGAAAATTGGGATTTTTGGCTAAAAAAATGGATTTTTAGGGGGAGAAAAATGGATTTTTTTGGGATAAATGGAATTTTGGGGTAAAAAATCGGGATTTTTGTGTAGAAAATTGAGATTTTTTTGGGAAAATTGGGATTTTGGGGTGGAAAAATCGATATTTTTGGGTAGAAAATTGGGATTTTTTGGGGGAAAAATGGGATTTTGGGGTAGAAAATGAGGATTTTTTTAGGAAATGTTAATTTTGGGGTGAAAAATCGGGATTTTGGGGTGGAAAATTTAATTTTTTTGGGGAAAAATGGGATTTTGGGGTGGGAAATTCGGATTTTTTTGGGAAAAATGGATTTTGGGGTGAAAAATGGATTTTGGGGTGAAAAATGGATTTTTTAGGGGGAAAAAATGGATTTTTTTGGGGAAAAATGAGGATTTTTTTGGGAAAATTGGGATTTTTGGGGAAAATGGGGATTTTTTTTGGGAAATGTTAATTTTGGGGTGGAAAATCGGGATTTTGGGGTGGAAAATCGGAAATTTTGGGGGAAAATTGGGATTTTGGGGTGAAAAAATGGATTTTTTAGGGGGAGAAAAATGGATTTTTTGGGGAAAAATGGGATTTTGGGGTGGAAAAATCGATATTTTTGGGTAGAAAATTGGGATTTTTTGGGGAAAATTGGGATCTTGGGGTAGAAAATGGGGATTTTTTTGGGAAATGTTAATTTTGGGGTGAAAAATCGGGATTTTGGGGTGGAAAATTGGAAATTTTGGGGGAAAATTGGGATTTTTGGGTGAAAAAAGGATTTTTTGGGGGAAAAAATGGATTTTTTTGGGGAAAAATGAGATTTTTTTGGGAAAATTGGGATTTTGGGGTAGAAAATGAGGATTTTTTTGGGAAAATTGGGATTTTGGGGTAGAAAAATGGGATTTTGGGGTAGAAAATGAAGATTTTTTGGGGGAAAAATGGGATTTTGGGGTAGAAAATGAAGATTTTTTTTGGAAATTGGGATTTTGGGGTAGAAAACGAGGATTTTTTTTGAGCAATGTTAATTTTGGTTGGATTTTGGGGGATTTTGAGGTAGAAAATGAGGATTTTTTTGGGAAAATGTTAATTTTGGGGTGGAAAATTGGGATTTTGGGGTAGAAAATGGGGATTTTTTTGAGGAAATTGGGATTTTGGGGTAGAAAATTGGGAATTTTTGGGAAAATGTTCATTTTGGGGGATTTTGGGGTGGAAAATTGGGATTTTGGGGTAGAAAATGAAGATTTATTTTAGGAAATGTTAATTTTGGGGTGATTTTGGGGGATTTTGGGGTGGAAAATTGGGATTTTAGGGTCAAAAATGAGGATTTTTTTTTTTGGGAAATGTTAATTTTGGGGTGATTTTGGGGGATTTTGGGGTAGAAAATTGGGATTTTTTTGGGAAAATTGGGATTTTGGGGTAGAAAATGAGGATTTTTTGTGGGACAATGTTAATTTTGGGGGGATTTGGGGGGATTTTGGGGTAGAAAATGAGGATTTTTTTTAGGAAATGTTAATTTTGGGGTGATTTTGGGGATTTTGGGGTGGAAAATTGGGATTTTGGGGTCGAAAATGAGGATTTTTTTTTAGGAAATGTTAATTTTGGGGTGATTTTGGGGGATTTTGGGGTAGAAAATGAGGATTTTTTTTAGGAAATGTTAATTTTGGGGGGATTTTGGGGGATTTTGGGGTGATTTTGGGGAATTTTGGGGTAGAAAATCGGGATTTTTTTTAGGAAATGTTAATTTTGGGGTGATTTTGGGTGTTTTTGGGGTCCCGCAGGGTACGTGAGGGGGATGAGCGAGGTCCTGACCCCCCTGGTCAGCGTCAGCCCCGAGGAGGTCGAAGCTTTCTGGGCCTTCTGCAGCCTCATGGAGATGGTGGTGAGGAGCTGCCAAAATTGGGGGAAAATCCCAAAATTCCGGAGGGAAAATTCCCAAAATTTGGGGGAAAAAATCCCAAAATTTAGGGGGAAAAAAATCCTGAAATTTGGGGGGGAAAATCCCAAAAATTGGTGGAAAAATCCCAAAATTTGGGGGAAAAAATCACAAAAATCCAGAGGAAAAATCACAAAATTTGGGGGGAAAAATCCCAAAATTTGGGGGAAAATCCCAAAAATTTGGGGGGAAAATTTCCAAAATTTTTTGGGGAAAATCCCAAAATTTGGGGGGGAAAATCACAAAAATTTGGGGGAAAAATCCCAAAATTTGGGGGAAAAAATCCTAAAAATCCGGAGGAAAAATCACAAAATTTGGAGGGAAAATCACAAAATTTGGGGGGAAAATTCCCAAAGTTTGGGGGGAGAATCCCAAAAATCCGGGGGAAAAATTCCCAAAATTTGGGGGGAAAATCACAAAATTTAGGGGGAAAAAAAATCCTGAAATTTGGGGGGGAAAATCCCAAAAATTGGTGGAAAAATCCCAAAATTTGGGGGAAAAAATCCCAAAATTCCGGAGGAAAAATCACAAAATTTGGGGGGAAAAAATCCTGAAATTTGGGGGGGAAAATCCCAAATTTTGGGGAAAAATTCCCAAAAATTGGGGGGAAAATCACAAAATTTGGGGGAAAAAATCCCAAAATTCCAGAGGGAAAATCACAAAATTTGGGGGGGAAAATCCCAAAATTTGGGGGGAAAATCCCAAAAATTGGTGGAAAAATCCCAAGATTTGGGGGAAAAAATCACAAAAATCCAGAGGAAAAATCGCAAAATTTGGGGGGAAAATCACAAAATTTGGGGGAAAAATCCTGAATTTTGAGGGGGGAAAATCCCAAAATTTGGGGGGAAAAATCCCGAATTTTGGAGAAAAAATTCCCAAAGTTTGGGGGAGAGAATCCCAAAAATCCGGGGGAAAAATCACAAAATTTGGGGGAAAATCCCAAAATTTGGGGGAAAAAATCACAAAAATCCAGAGGAAAAATCACAAAATTTGGGGGGGAAAATCACAGAATTTGAGGGGGAAAATCTCAAAATTTGGGGGAAAAATCCTGAAATTTGGGGAAAAAATTCCCAAAGTTTGGGGGGGAGAATCCCAAAGATCCGGGGAAAAATTCCCAAAATTTGGGGGGAAAAATCCTGAAATTTTGGGGGGAAAATCACAAAATTTTTTGGGGGAAAATCCTGAAATTTGGGGAAAAAATTCCCAAAGTTTGGGGGGAGAATCCCAAAAATCCGGAGGGAAAATCACAAAATTTGGGGGGAAAATCACAAAATTTGGGGAAAAATCCCAAAAATTTGGGGGGAAAATTTCCAAAATTTTTTGGGGAAAATCCCAAAATTTGGGGGGGAAAATCCCAAAAATTGGTGGAAAAATCCCAAAATTTGGGGGAAAAAATCACAAAAATCCAGAGGAAAAAATCACAAAATTTGGGGGGAAAATCCTGAATTTTGGGGGCAAAAATCCTGAATTTTGGGGGGGAAATCACGAAATTTGGGGGGAAAAAATCCTGAAATTTGGGGAAAAAATTCCCAAAGTTTGGGGGGGAGAATCCAAAAAATTTGGGGGGAAAATCCCAAAATTTGGGGGAAAAATCCTGAAATTTGGGGGGGAAAATCCTGAATTTTGGGGGCAAAAATTCCGAATTTTGGGGAAAAAATTCCCAAATTTTGGGGGAAAAGCCCAAAAATCTGTGGGGAAAATCCCACATTTGGGGAAAAAAATCCCAAAAATTTGGGGGGAAAATTTCCAAAATTTTGGGGGGAAAATCCCCAAATTTGGGGGAAAAAATTCCCAAAAGTTGTGGAAAAATTCCCAAAAATTTGGGGGAAAATTCCCAAAAATTGGGGGAAAATTCCCAAAAATTGGTAAAAAATCACTAATTTGGTTGGGAAAATCCCAAATTTGGGGGAAAAAATTCCCAAAAATTGGGGGAAAAATCCCCAAAATTTGGGAAAAATTTCCAAAAATTGTGGAAAAATTTCCAAAAATTGGGGAAAAATTCCCAAAAATTGGGGAAAAATTCCCAAAAATCCAGGAAAAAAATCCCAAAATTTGGGGGTAAAAATCCCAAAATTAGGGGTAAAATTCCCAAAAATTTGTCAAAAATTCCCAGAATTGGGGGAAAATCCCAAATTTGGGGGGAAAATCCCAAAAATCAGGGGGGAAAATCCCAAATTTTGGGGGGAAAAATCCCAAAAATTGGGAAAAAATTCCCAAAATTGGGGGAAAATCGCAAATTTGTGGGGAAATTCCCAAATTGGGGGGAAAAAATTCCCAAAAATTGGGGGAAAATTCCCAAAAATTGGGAAAAATCCCAAATTTGGGGGAAAAAATTCCCAAAAATTGGGGAAAAAAATCCCAAAAATTGGGGGAAAAATCCCCAAAATTAAGGAAAAATTCCCAAAAATTGGGAAAAAATCCCAAAATTGGTTGGGAAAATCCCAAATTTTGGGGGGAGAAAATCCCAAATTTGGGGGAAAAAATTCCCAAAAATTGGGGAAAAATCCCAAAAATCAGGGGAGAAAATCCGAAATTTTGGGGAAAAATTCCCCAAAATTGGTTAAAAATTCCCAAAATTGCGGGAAAATCCCAAATTTGGGGGGAAAAATCCTGAAATTTTGGGGAAAAATTCCCAAAAATCGGTTAAAAAATTCCTAAAATTGGGGGAAAAAAATCCCAAATTTGGGGAAAAAAATCCCAAAAATTAGGGAAAAAATCCCAAATTGGGGGAAAAAAATCCCAAATTTGGGGGAAAAAATCCCCAAAATTAAGGAAAAATTCCCAAAAATCGGGAAAAAATCCCTAAATTGGTTGGGAAAATCCCAAATTTTGGGGGAAAATCCCCAATTTTGGGAAAAATTCCCAATTTCTCCTGGTTTTTCCCCCCAGGGTGAGAACTTCGGGCCGGGGCTGAAGAGGAAGCTGGGAGAAGTGGGAGCGCTGGTGCGAGTGCTGAACCCCGGGCTGAGCCCCCTGCTGGGTGAGAAACACCAAATTTGGGGGGAAAAAGCCAAAATTTGGGAAAAAATTAAAAAAATCAGGGGGAAAAAACAAAATTTGGGAAAAAATAAAAAAAATTGGGGGTAAAAAACCAAAAATTTGGGGAAAAAACACCCAAAAATTGGGAAAAAATAGCAAAAATTGGGGGAAAAATCAAAATATTTGGGGAAAAAAACAGCAAAATTTGGGGGGAAAAACTCAAAATTTGGGAAAAAATAGCAAAAATTGGGGGGAAAAAAACAAAAATTGGGGGGAAAAATCAAAAATTTGGGAAAAAATTAAAAAAAATCGGGGGGAAAAACTCAAAATTTGGGGGGAAAAACCCAAAATTTCGGAAAAAATAAAAAAAATTGGGGGAAAAACCAAAATATTTGGGGAAAAATTGAAAAATTGGGGGGAAAAACCCAAAATTTGGGAAAAAATAAAAAAAAATTGGGGGGAAAAATCAAAAATTTGGGAAAAAATAAAAAAAATTGGGGGAAAAACCAAAAATTTGGGGGGAAAAATCAAAAATTTGGGAAAAAACAGCAAAATTTGGGGGGAAAAAGCAAAAATTTGGGGGAAAAATGTAAAATTTGGGGGGAAAAACTCAAAATTTGGGAAAAAAACCCCAAAAATTGGGAAAAATAGCAAAAATTGGGGAGAAAATCCAAAAATTTGGGGGGAAAATGTAAAATTTGGGGTAAAAACCTCAAAAATTTGGGGGAAAAACAAAAATATTGGAAAAAAATGGTAAAAATTGGAGAAAAAAAACAAAAATTGGGGGGAAAATCCAAAAATTTGGGGGGAAAATGTAAAATTTGGGGAAAAAAACACCCAAAATTTGGGAAAAAATAAAAAAAATTGGGGGAAAAATCAAAATATTTGGGGAAAACGTAAAATTTGGGGGGAAAAAACCAAAATTTGGGAAAAAAACCCAAAAAATTGGGAAAAATAGCAAAAATTGGGGGGAAGAACTCAAAATTTGGGGGGAAAAACCCAAAATTTGGGAAAAAAACACCCAAAAATTGGGAAAAAATAGCAAAAATTGGGGGGAAAATCAAAATATTTGGGGGAAAATGGAAAAATTGGGGGGAAAACCCCAAAATTTGGGAAAAAATAAAAAAAATTGGGGGTAAAATCCAAAATTTGGGGGGAAAAATCAAAAATTTGGGGAAAAAAACACCCAAAAATTGGGAAAAAATAGCAAAAATTGGGGGAAAAATCAAAATATTTGGGGAAAAATTGAAAAATTGGGGGGAAAAACCCAAAATTTGGGAAAAACTCAAAATTTGGGGGGAAAAACTCAAAATTTGGGAAAAAATAAAAAAAATTTGGGGGGAAAAACTCAAAATTTGGGAAAAAATAAAAAAAATTGGGGGGGAAAAATAAAAATTTGGGGGGAAATGGAAAATTTGGGGAAAAAACACCCAAAAATTGGGAAAAAATAGCAAAAATTGGGGGAAAAATCAAAATATTTGGGGAAAAATTGAAAAATTTGGGGGGAAAATCAAAAAATTGGGGAAAAAAATGTAAAATTTGGGGGGAAAAACTCAAAATTTGGGGGGAAAAATCAAAAATTTGGGAAAAAAACACCCAAAAAATTGGGAAAAAATAGCAAAAATTGGGGGGAAAATCAAAATATTTGGGAAAAAAATGTAAAATTTGGGGGGAAAAACTCAAAATTTGGGGGGAAAATCACAAAATTTGGGAAAAAATTAAAAAAAATGGGGGGAAAAAACAAAATATTTGGGGGAAAATCCAAAAATTTGGGGAAAAAAACTCAAAATTTGGGGGGAAAAATCAAAAATTTGGGGGGAAAAACTCAAAATTTGGGAAAAAATAAAAAAAATTTGGGGGGAAAAACTCAAAATTTGGGAAAAAATAAAAAAAATTTGGGGGGAAAAACTCAAAATTTGGGAAAAAATAAAAAAAATTTGGGGGGAAAAACCAAAAATTTGGGAAAAAACAGCAAAATTTGGGGGGAAAAACCAAAAACTCAAAATTTGGGGGGAAAAATCAAAAATTTGGGGGGAAAATCACAAAATTTGAGAATAAACCCAAAAAAATTGGGAAAAAATTGTAAAAATTGGGAAAAAATAGCAAAAATTGGGGGAAAAAATCAAAATTTGGGGGAAAAAACCCAAAATTGGAGGAGAAAATAGTAAAATTTAGGAAGAAAATCCAAAAATTTGGGTTGAAAATCATAAAGTTTGGGAAAAAATTGTAAAAATTCAGGGGAAATCACAAAATTTGAGGGGAAAAATCAAAAATTTGGGGGGGAAAATAACAAAATTTGGGAAAAAAACCCAAAAAATTGGGAAAAAATTGCAAGAATTGGGGGGAAAAACTCAAAATTTGGGTGGAAAAACCCAAAATTTGGGAAAAAAATGCAAAATTTAGGGGAAAAACTCCAAAATTGGGGAAAAAACCCCAAAATTGGAGGGGAAAATAATAAAATTTGGGGGTAAAAACCAAAAATTTGGGGTGAAAAATGAAAAATTTGAGAAAAATTGTAAAAATTGGGAAAAAATAGCAAGAATTGGGGGGAAAAATTCAAAAATTTGGGGGGAAAAAAACCTAATTGGGGGGAAAAACCCAAAATTGGGGGGAAAAAATGAAAATTGGAGGGCAAAATAATAAAATTTGGGGTGAAAAACCAAAAATTTGGGGGAAAAACCCCGAAAAATGGGAAAAAATGAAAAAAAAATGGGAAAAAAAACCCCAAAAAATCCAGAAAAATAAAAAAAATTTGGGAAAAAATCAGAAAAAAGAAGGAAAACCCCAAATTTGTGTCCAGGAGGGGCTCGGGGACCTCAAAAATGGGGAAAAACCCCGAAAATTTGGGAAAAACAATGAAAAAATGGAGAAAAAACCCCCAAAAATGCGAGAAAAAAACCAAAAAAAATGGGAAAAAAAATACCTAAAAATGGGGAAAAATCAAAAAAAATGGGAAAAAATTCCCAAAAAAAGGAAAACCCCAAATTTGTGTTTGGGAGGAGCTCAGGGACCCCAAAAATGGGGAAAAACCCTAAAATTTGGGAAAAACAATGAAAAAATGGATAAAAAAAACCCAAAAAAAATGCGAGAAAAAACCAAAAAAAAAAGGGAAAAAATTCCTAAAAATCGGAAAAAAAATTCAAAAAAAATGGGAAAAAATTCCCAAAAAAAGGAAAATTCCAAATTTGTGTCTGGGAGGGGCTTGGGGACCCCAAAAATGGGGAAAAACCCAAAAATTTGGGAAAAACCACGAGAAAATTGAGAAAAAAAACCCAAAAAATGAGAGAAAAAAACCCCAAAAAATGGGAAAAAAAATCCTAAAAATGGGAAAAAATTCCCAAAAACAGGAAAACCCCAAATTTGTTTTTGGGAGGGGCTCGGGGACTCCAAAAATGGGGAAAAACCTGAAAATTTGGGAAAAACAATGAAAAAATGGAGAAAAAAATCAAAAAAATGAGAGAAAAATACAAAAAAAATGGGAAAAAATTCCTAAAAATGGGAAAAAAATCAAAAAAATGAGAAAAAATCAAAAAAAAATGGAAAACCCCAAATTTTTGTCTGGGAGGGGCTTGGGGACCCCAAAAGTGGGGAAAAACCTGAAAATTTGGGAAAAACAATGAAAAAATGGAGAAAAAAACCCAAAAAATGAGAGAAAAAAACCAAAAAAAAATGGGAAAAAAATCCCTAAAAATGGGGAAAAATCGCCAAAAAACGGGAAAAAATTCCCAAAAAAAGGAAAACCCCAAATTTTTGTCTGGGAGGGGCTTGGGGACCCCAAAAGTGGGGAAAAATCCAAGAAATTTGGGAAAAAGAATGAAAAAAATTGAGAAAAAAAACCAAAAAATGGGGAAATAATTCGTAAAAATGGGAAAAAAAATCTCCAAAAAATGGGAAAAAATTCCCAAAAAAAGGAAAACCCCAAATTTGTTTTTGGGAGGGGCTCGGGGACCCCAAAAATGGGGAAATATCCCAGAAATTTGGGGAAAACCACGAGAAAATTGAGAAAAAAAACCCAAGAAATGAGAGAAAAAAGCTAAAAAAAATGGGAAAAAAATCCCTAAAAATGGGGAAAAATCCCAAAAAAATGGGAAAAAATTCCCAAAAAAAGGAAAGCCCCAAATTTGTGTCTGGGAGGGGCTTGGGGACCCCAAAAATGGGGAAAAACCCAAAAATTTGGGAAAAACCACGAGAAAATTGAGAAAAACCCCAAAAAATGCGAGAAAAAAACCAAAAAAAAAGGGAAAAAATTCCTAAAAATTGGGAAAAAAATCTCCTAAAAATGGGAAAAAATTCCCAAAAACAGGAAAACCCCAAATTTGTTTTTGGGAGGGGCTCGGGGACTCCAAAAATGGGGAAAAACCTGAAAATTTGGGAAAAACAATGAAAAAATGGAGAAAAAAATCAAAAAAATGAGAGAAAAATACAAAAAAAATGGGAAAAAATTCCTAAAAATGGGAAAAAATTCCCAAAAAAAGGAAAACCCCAAATTTGTGTTTGGGAGGGGCTCGGGGACCCCAAATTTGGGGTTTCCCCCCCTGAGACCCCCCCAAATCCCCCCCAGAGGCGCGGGGGCCCCGCAGGTGCTGCTCCCAGTGGCTCCAGTTCAGGTTCCAGCGGCAACTGGGATTGGAGGGGACGCGGCGGCTCTGGGAGGTACCGGGGGATTTGGGGGATTTGGGGATCATTTGGGATCTTTTGGGATCATTTGGGATCTTTTGGGATCTTTTGGGATCGTCTGGGATTTTTTTGGAATTTTTTGGGGATTTTTTGGGATTTTTTGGGGATTTTTTGGGGATTTTTTTGGAGATTTTTTGGAATTTTTTTGGATTTTTTGTGGATTTCGTGTGGATTTTTTTTTTATTTTTTGGATGGTGTTTTGGCGTTTTTTGGGGATCATTTGGGAATTTTTTGGGACCATTTGGGATCTTTTGGGATCATTTGGGATTTTTGGGGGATTTTTTGGGATTTTTTGGAATTTTTTTGGATTTTTGGGGGATTTTTTGTGGATTTTTTTTACTTTTTTGGATTTTTCTTGGGTTTTTTGGGGGTCATTTGGGATTTTTGGGGATCATTTGGGATCATTTGGGATCGTCTGGGATTTTTTGGGGATTTTTTGGGGATTTTTTGGGATTTTTTGGGGATTTTTTTGGAGATTTTTTGGATTTTTTTTGGCATTTTTGGGGGATTTTTTGTGGATTTTTTTTATTTTTGGGGGGTTTTTGGGGGTCATTTGGGATTTTTTGGGTTCATTTGGGATTTTTTGGGATCATTTGGGATTTTTTGGGATCATTTGGGATTTTTTGGGGATTTTTTGGGGATCTTTTTAGATTTTTTGGGGATTTTAGGAATTTTTTTGGGGAATTATTTTTTATTTTCGGGGGACAATTTGGAGATTTTTTGGGATCATTTGGGACAATTTGGGATTTTTTGGGATCATTTGGGATCGTTTGGGATTTTTTGGGATCATTTGGGATTTTTTGGGGATTTTTTGGGATTTTTTGGGGATTTTTTTGGAGATTTTTTGGAATTTTTTTGGATTTTTGGGGGATTTTTTGTGGATTTTTTTTTATTTTTTTGGATTTTTTGGGGGGTTTTTTGGGACCATTTGGGATTTTTTGGGATCATTGGGGATCGTTTGGGATTTTTTGGGATCATTTGAGATTTTTTGGGGTCGTTTGGGATTTTTGGGGGATTTTTTGGAGATTTTTTGGATTTTTTTTGCATTTTTGGGGGATTTTTTGTGGATTTTTTTTTATTTTTGGGGGGTTTTTTGGGGATCATTTGGGATTTTTTGGGATCATTTGGGATTTTTGGGGATCATTTGGGATCGTTTGGGATCATTTGGGATCGTTTGGGATTTTTTGGGGATTTTTTGGGATTTTTGGGGGATTTTTTTGGAAATTTTTTGGATTTTTTTTGGCATTTTTGGGGGATTTTTTGTGGATTTTTTTTATTTTTGGGGGGTTTTTGGGGGTCATTTGGGATTTTTTGGGATCATTTGGGATTTTTTGGGATCATTTGGGATCATTTGGGATCATTTGGGATTTTTTGGGATTTTTTGGGGATTTTTTGGAGATTTTTTGGGGATTTTAGGAATTTTTTGGGGAATTTTTTTTAATTTTTTGGGGATAATTTGGGATTTTTTGGGATCATTTGGGATCGTTTCGGATCATTTGGGATCATTGGGGATTTTTTGGGATCATTTGGGATTTTTTGGGGGATTTTTTGGGATTTTTTGGGGATTTTTTTGAGATTTTTTGGAATTTTTTGGGATTTTTTGTGGATTTTTTGTGGATTTTTTTTTATTTTTGGGGTTTTTTGGGGATCATTTGGGATCTTTTGGGATCGTTTGGGATTTTTTGGGATTTTTTGGGGATTTTTTGGGATTTTTTGGGGATTTTTTTGGAGATTTTTTGGAATTTTTTGGGATTTTTTGGGGATTTTTTGTGGATTTTTTTTCATTTTTGAGGGGTTTTTCGGGGATCATTTGGGATTTTTTGGGATCATTTGGGATTTTTTGGGGATTTTTTGGGGATTTTTTGGGATTTTTGGGGGATTTTTTTGAGATTTTTTGGAATTTTTTTGGATTTTTTGTGGATTTTTTGTGGATTTTTTTTTATTTTTGGGGTTTTTTGGGGATCATTTGGGATTTTTTGGGATCGTTTGGGATTTTTTGGGGATTTTTTGGAGATTTTTGGGGATTTTTTTTGGATTTTTTGGGGATTTTAGGAATTTTTGGGGAATTTTTTTTTTATTTTTTGGGGATAATTTGGGGTTTTTTGGGATCGTTTGGGACCATTTGGGATTTTTTGGGATCATTTGGGGATTTTTTGGGATCATTTGGGATCATTGGGGATTTTTTGGGATTATTTGGAAATTTTTTGGAATTTTTTTGGCATTTTTTGGGGGATTTTTTGTGGATTTTTTTTTATTTTTTGGGTTTTTTTTGGGGATTGTTTGGGATTTTTTGGGATCATTTGGGATTTTTTGGGACCATTTGGCATCGTTTGGGACAATTTGGGATTTTTTGGGATCATTTGGGATCTTTTGGGATTTTTGGGGATTTTTTGGGGATTTTTTGGGATTTTTTGGGGATTTTAGGAATTTTTGGGGAATTTTTTTTTTATTTTTTGGGGATAATTTGGGATTTTTTGGGATCATTTGGGATCATTGGGGATTTTTTGGGATCATTTGGGATTTTTGGGAATCATTTGGGATCATTTGGGATCATTTGGGATTTTTTGGGATTTTTTGGGGATTTTTTTGGAGATTTTTTGGGGATTTTAGGAATTTTTTGGGGAATTTTTTTTAATTTTTTGGGGATAATTTGGGATTTTTTGGGATCATTTGGGATCATTGGGGATCATTTGGGATCGTTTGGGATTTTTTGGGATCATTTGGGATTTTTGGGAATCATTTGGGATCATTTGGGATCATTTGGGATTTTTTGGGATTTTTTGGGGATTTTTTTGGAGATTTTTTGGAATTTTTTTGGATTTTTTGGGGATTTTTTGGGGATTTTTTTTTATTTTTTTGGATGTTTTTTGGGGGTTTTTTGGGGGTCATTTGGGATTTTTTGGGATCATTTGGGATCGTTTGGGATCATTTGGGATCATTGGGGATTTTTTGGGATCGTTTGGGATTTTTTGGGGATTTTTTGGGATTTTTTGGGGATTTTTTGGAGATTTTTTGGATTTTTTTTTGATTTCTTGGGGATTTTTTGTGGATTTTTTTTTTATTTTTTTGGATTTTTTGGGGGGTTTTTTGGGGATCATTTGGGATTTTTTGGGACCATTTGGGATTTTTTGGGATTTTTTGGGATCATTTGGGATCGTTTGAGATTTTTTGGGATCATTTGGGAATTTTTTGGGATTTTTTGGGGATTTTTTTGGAGATTTTTTGGAATTTTTTTGGATTTTTTGGGGTTTTTTGTGGATTTTTTTTATTTTTTTGGATTTTTTGGGGTTTTTTTTGGGGATTGTTTGGGACAATTTGGGATCATTTGGGATTTTTTGGGGATTTTTTGGGATTTTTTGGGATTATTTGGAATTTTTTTGGAGATTTTTTTGGCATTTTGGGGGATTTTTTGTGGATTTTTTTTATTTTTTTGGATTTTTTGGGGGGTTTTTTGGGGACCATTTGGGATTTTTTGGGACCATTTGGGATTTTTTGGGGATTTTTTTGAGTTTTTTGGGGATTTTTTGGAGATTTTTTGAGGATTTTAGGAATTTTTGGGGGAATTTTTTTTTATTTTTTGGGGATAATTTGGGATTTTTTGGGATCGTTTGGGACCATTTGGGATTTTTTGGGATCATTTGGGATCGTTTGGGATTTTTTGGGATCATTTGGGATCGTTTGAGAT